ATTCAATAAATTACTGGATGTCTACAAATTATCAGCCGCTAATAAACTTGTATCGCTAATCTTTTATTTCACTTTTACAGTTAATGGAAATTACAATAGATATTAAAGGACAAACGAATAAAAAAGAAAATCTGAGAATAAAGTAATATATTTATGCTTGGTTAGTGCTTTTAATCATTAGAAATAATAAGAATGAGGAGAAAACATAATGTACTACTTTTTTTTTTCATTATAGTGTTTTCAATATAACCCAAAAAGAACAGATGCACTTACGAAACAAGTAATGTAGTTCTTTGACTGTTCATTTTTGACTACAGCTATTCGAGATTTTACAACTGTGATCAAGGAAGACCCCAGCAATGATCAGGTGAGGTAGAATATATACTTTGACAAAAGTATTTGAATTTTAAGTGGATTATTAAAATAATATTAATATGTAAAAGACTGAATATGCATTAAACAATAATAAAGCAATTGCATTTCCAAAGAGGTGTCTAATAGAAATAGGATAAGACTTCTAGGCCATGGTATTCATTGGGGAATCTTTGTGTTGCTTTAATGACTTTGGATTAGTCCCTAGACCTTAATTTAGCTAAGCACAGAACCATGTGCTCAGATCCCACTGCAGTAATGCAAATATAGAGTCAGTTGGACTTAAGCACGTGCATATGTGCTTTGCTCTAAAGAGCTGGATTTAAATACATGCTCAAAGTGAAGAAAGTCCTTAAGGCTTACATAGTTCTATGCCTAATTTCCGTTGGTTGCCTTGACACTTCTAGTTTTAGCATTATGCTGAATTAATGTTTTCTGTGAAAAAGTTGAATTATGAATGAGAAGCATCTTTATTTTTGAATTATAATGATGATTTTGAGGTTTAACTTACAAAGACTGAAAAAAGATTGTAAGACTTCCCTACTTGAAAATGTGACTTTTTGATATCATTCCTGCAAAGATTTATATTCTTTTTATACTCTATTCTGGACTCATGAAAATAGATGTAAAAGCAGATATTCAATACCACATTATGATACCTGAATTTAGGTGTCAGCTTGCTGTATCCATGGGGTTTAGGTGTCTGAGTAGTTGTTATCACCCAGAATTCTAATCAATACGGTTAGTAGATGCTCAGCCCACTGAATATAGGCTCTTCTCTAAAGCCTGAAGAGCTGTTCAGCTAAACAGCCAGTAAGTGTACATTTTTGGATGAACTGAATTGCTCTTGTCTCCTGGGATTAAATTGAGTAGATCTTAATCAACTGTAATGGAAAGTCAGATACCTAACATATGTTGGAGACATCTAAAAATTGACATCTAAGTTCAGATGTCTTATTCTGGAACTGATTCCCATCCAAACTGAATAGAAATGGCTTGGGAAGGATTCCCTATGTGTATCTTCTACCTGTGAGTCCATCTTCTTCATCACAGGGAACCACAGGATCATGCAAAGCTTTCTTATGACATTAGGTCCCTGTGCTACTACAGTAATTTACAGATGCTCCTTAAATCTCTGGCTTTGAAATGAAATCTTGAAGTGATATAAAGCTCCATTTGGCTTCCTGAACTCCAGTAGTTCCTTAAGGCTCACATGTTGATGTGTGGGCTCTGTGAATAGTTGTAGTGAATATGATTAGTATCAGTGCCTTGTGTTCGTGTAGAGTTAAGCACGTGATGTAAATTCTTGAGGAACTGACTTTACTGTGTTAGATTGAAAAAGAAATAGTATATTTTTTGCATGATAACTCTGCATAGAAGTGGAATGTGGCATAAGACCTGCTTAATAAGTGAAAGCTATCTTCAAAACCAGAAGTTTTATATATTATGTTTTGCATTAATAAAATAATTTTACAGCCATTGCTGTCTATTCACAATTTTCCAACTGTGCTTATGATTTACCTTGTTGAAATATGTTGCTAGCTTCCTGAATTTGAGGGAGGAATGGTATAAAATAGTAGGATCTGATTTTTGTAAACTTGTCTGTTTGAAAGAAATATTGAAGAATAGAATGGATGTTTTCAGAAAACTTTAATAGTAATGAAGGCAGTTTTATATTTTTTCTTTTAAATCAGATTTAACAAAATCTGGTATTTCCCATGCAGAAACTGATGCACTAATAGAACTATGGAACTTTGAGAGAGTTCCATTAAACTCTGTGATGCCTAAAGCTGATACAGGGTTCTATTATATTGAACTTGATTTAGGCATGTGCAGTGATCTGCCTATATGGTATAGATTACTGGACTTTGTTCCTTAAGACTTGCTTTATTAAATTCAGAAATAAAATTGAATGTTTATTCTATTTTTCAACATTTTTTTCCTGAATAATTAGATCAAGGTTGCATGACAAAAACAATGGAAGAACTCTTGGTATTAAGTTGACTCAACCTGTTAATGCTATAAATAATAGTCTGTGACTTCATACTATGACTTTCAAAGGGAAAATATATTTAAAAAGAAACCTTCTTCTGTGTTAGACTGTATCAAGGAAGAGCATATGCTAAACAGCAACAGTATAGAAATGCAATTACAAGACTTAGCAGCAGCCGTTCATCTACACCCTTCTTGTTGCTTAGCATTCTACTATAGAGGTTGCATACTATGACAGATTGATCCAAAGCTGTGCAGGACTTCAGTGTTTCTGGTATTGTTTGTTTCTTTTAATGGCATGTGTGTTTATCGTTAAAAAGAGGAATGACCGTTCACCAGTAATTACTATACTGGAATATAACACAGATATTTCATGTTGCAAATATTGAAATGTATGGTTATCATTCAGTGTTTTGTAATAACTTGCTCCTTTTAATTTCTATTAAGTTTTATATTAGACATTGACTCTTGCTGCTGTTGTTTTTCTTCAGTTATTTTGCCTCTGCTTCCTGAGCTTTTCTGCTTCACTTGTGTGTGTAACTGAGTGGATAAATACTCACTGGGTATTTATACATGGGTGTAACTAAGAATTACCAATATGTCTTGAAAGTATTTCGTGCCACCATGAACAGTTTCTTTTATAATCTAATAAGCTATGTTATGGTTTATCTGTGATATTTTATAAAGCTCTAAGAAAACTAGAGTAAAAAGTAATGTGCAAATAAGTTGTGTTGAGTAACGGAAATATATGTGACTATCTGAACAGCTGATTTTTATTCTCCCTCTCCTGTAGTACTCATCAATGACACTCAGGAAAATTTCTGTTCTTTTCTTCATCATGGGATTATTTACTCAGAACAGTGTCAGTGGTCACTTGCAATCTGTGACTTTGAAAGTATTCTAGCTTTGGACAGGTGACTGGACTTGAGAACTTTAATATATGTTGTTTATATTCTGATTACCTGGGTGCATGAAAGTAGTAATAAAGGAAAGTAGAATCAGAACTGTTATTCAGCAAATAGATGGGAATTAGACCACACAAAAACATAATGTTGTATTCGTTTAGTATCTTTTGCCTCATTTACTATAGTCTAATAAAAATAATTATTACTGTGTTTCAAAATTAAATTTCATTTTGCCTTATGTGGCAACTTGGTGAATAAATTATTCAGCTTTGGCAGACAAAAGATGAAACTGGAGTCCTAATTAAAGTTGACTACTCATGCTGTAATAATTTTGTTAGTCTTTTGGGAGGGAATCTGTCCATGATGCAGGTAAAAAGTCAAGCAATTTTTTTTCCTAATAGAAAATGCCATGGTGTTTTCTTTGCCAAAAGCTAGTGAATGGTGTCCCTGAAATACAATAATAATAAAAAAATGCAGTTGGTGCTTCTTGATAGTTGGTGACTGAAGATGATGTGGTTTCTCTGAGTTGCATTTCTTCCTACCACTTAAAATACTTCAGAAACAGGTTATATCTGTAGCAGCCCTGCCATGCAAACAGTCTTACAATATGCAACAAGCCTCGCATACCTGTTAGATGCATTAATTACCTTACTCGAAAGGTACTGAGTTCTTGTTCAGCCTTTGGCAACCTCAACAGCCCTGTCTTGCTCAAAGGCTTCCATTCCAATCTGGGGCAGGCCTAAAGACCCCTCAGCTCTTCCTTTGTCTTGGCTCTGCTATAGGAAGTCTTGAACTTTTCCTAGAAACAGTCTGTAAGAGTGGGCTGTGCAAGGTATTGCAGGTCTTGGAAAGCCAGGTCTCCCTAGCAGCTGGCCAGGTGAAATGACAGAAAACAAGGGAGCAGGCTAGATTGAAAATGTGTAAGCTTTGTCAGTCTCATAAAACTACACTGTGTTTTTATTGTAGAAGAATTCAGTGCTTCTCAGTGTGTTCAGTATACACAACATTACCAGCTAGCTCTATTTCTAGTCCAGCTTCTGCGACAGAGACTTGTCATTATTTCTTCACAATTCACATTTGGAGTGCTGTTTTTGGTGATCAGAGAGCCTTTAGTGTGCAGCCAAACATCACAAGCTACTGAAATGGTGTTTTCTGATGAACTATTTCCTCTGCTGGCAATTACAATTCTTCAGCTCAGTGTGATCACAAAACAGATATGTGGTAAATGTCACAAAAGTAGATGAAGCCTGGATAAATTGTGGTTAATATAATGACATTTCATGCAATTACAAATGGAAAAACAAATTCTGTTTCTAGCTCTGTTATCTTTGCTTACCTAAATATTGGTTTGATACTGCTATTGCATCTCAATCAATACTATGAAGCTATTAAACAGTTTACTAATGCTGTTGAAATTGATCCTCTTAATGGTCGGGCCTACGTATGCAGAGCGCAAGCATATCATAAGGTAATACATTCCTTTTGCCTTTGTTTGCCACTTAATATAGCTTTATTTATATTTTATGGTTGTGTGAGTATTTTAATACTTATGCCTTGGTGTTATACAGATTTTAGAACCTGCTTATAGCTATATGTTTTGATGAATCCTTGTCACCGTAATAGAGTTACATACATTGCAGTTGTAAAATCTTGCTGGCATGGATGCAATGACACAAAATATTTTAAGTGTAGTTTTGTCTTTTCTACATTAGTGTACACCTAAAATTTAAAAAAAAGTTTCAAAAAATATTTCTGTGAAAATATGTATTTCTTAAATATTCCCCCCCCTTTTGAAATACAGTGTTTTCTAAACAGAATTTTCTTGAGAATACTCATTTTTCAGGGAATTCAAATTTTCTTCCCAGTAAATGGGAGTGAAAAAATTTTCAATATTTTAATTTACTGAGAAACAGAATGTGTTCTACTTCTGCATGGGATTTGAGAATAGTTTCTGCTAGTAGTTGTTTTTTTGAGACCCTCTCAGGAGTACAAGAAATGGAGTATTCAATGTGACCTAATTTCTGTAGATTTCATTGGTAGAATTCAAACAACTGTTGTGTCTCACAGTGCTTAGTTTGTTTTCAAAATGTTTCGAGAA